AAAAAAAAAAAAAAAAAAAAGGCAGCGCGAGAGAAGTCCGAGATCCTGCGCTGTGATCAAGCCTTCCTTCCTCCCAGCCTTCCTCCCGGTGCCCAATGGGGTGCAGCCAGTACCCCCGGAGAGCAGCTTCTGCGGCGGAGGCGGCGGCGGCGGCGGCGGCAGCAAAAGCAGCGGCGGTGGACCCTGGAGCCTGCTGCAGCCCGTTCTCCTCCCTCCGCTTTTGACCGTGCCAAGCGGCAGCTCTGCATCCTAAAGAAGCCCATTGAAGAACACATTTCATTCTCTGCACGTCTCAAGCTTGCTTTTCCCCGCTCAGACCCCCCTTCCCCACCCCCATCTCTTTTTGCTTCAGCTTCAGCAAGGGGAAGGGAGGGACAAGGAACAAGAGAGAGAGAGAGAGAGAATCCTTAAACTCCAGCCCCCCCATGTTTAGTGCTTTAAAAAAAATCTGCAAAATAGGTAAGTCAAAGACATCTGGAGCTTATCTTGCCTAAACTGCAGGGATGTGAAAAAACAGGAAAAATATTTCAGAAAAGAATGGTGAGGAAGAAAGGACTTAAATGGATTTTAATATTTTATAAGGCAACGGGGAAGACTGATTCTGCAATGTAGTCTCATCTGCCTTCCCTTTTTCTCATTTAATTGTTTCTAAAAATTGACTACTGCACGCCTAAGGCAGATTTCTCTTTGCTTTCTCACGGTTTCTCTTTTCCATACAACTGTGTTCATTATATGCAAGTTCATTGCAAAAATAATTTTTTTTCACTTTCCCTATAAATTGTATTATTATATTTCAAGTTAAGAAAGATACCCTTGATGTGTATATGTATGTGTGGGGAGAAAGTACATGTTTGAAACTCTGATTTATTTTCATCGATTAAAATCGGCCATTCAATTTTGATTGTTACTCTAATGACTGAGGAAAGACAATGTAATAAAGCTGTATTATAATTTATTTATGGACAGATTGACATGTACTGATGAAATTAGGTGAAGGAAGAGAGTCATAGAGGAAAGCTCTGTGTTGTTTTTAGAAGAGTGTACTGAATTCATGATTTCTGGGAAAAGAATAATTTTTGAACAATATTTCATGTAATAGATCATTTATCAGCAGATAAGAATTGAGGTTTCCACCCTCCCTGGTCTTTCACTACTATCTGTAACCAGCCAGGAGCACTTCTAGTTTTTAGGGTACCTCAGTTGATCTTGAAGGCAAAAGAAAAAAAAAAAATTCCAAACTAAGCTCAGACACTCCCAGGCTTAGCTACCTTTAGTTGTCACTATATTTAGCTCTGAGGACTGCATGGGTATGTTCCTTAGAAGGGCTAATTCTTCTTCAACATTTTAGATAGCCAAAAGATAAAACATGTAGGAGTAATTTATTTAATTAAAGGAGGTGTCGATAATCAGTGCTTATGCAGAAGGGGTTGGGGTATGGGAAGACACTGGCCATACGCTGTAATGTAGTATGTTTGATAGTTTCTTCAAAGAAATCTCAAGTTTTCCTGAGGCGCCAGTCATCTTATACCTTTCAGCACAGGATTCTGGGCAGTGGGCTCATACTTTATTAAACTGTTTAATAACTTTGGGATATATCATGTTTATTTTAATAGCAGAAATGTATAAAGGGAAGGACACTTTTCCACCAGAGAATAAGGTTCACAATGGGCATGGTTAAAGCCAATATGGGCTTTAACAGCTAAACAAGTGTAATGGCTAAATTATTGCCAGTATTAGTGAATCTGGCTATGTTTAAAGGACCGAACAGAATTCCCATTCTGTTGTTTTCTATGAGAGATGCAAGCTGCTTTTGTTCATGTGATATGCCGTTTGCCAAGTATGGCTAGGTTCAGGAAGCTGTCACTGCATGTTTGAATATTTCAGAGTCTCCTATGATTAAAATATAGGGCACGCTCTAAACATTAAACATGTTGCTCGCTCATTTTGATTGTCAGTTTGGATAATTGCTGAAGTCTTTATATCACTCTTAAATAGCCCCACATGTAGGAGTCAATTAAAATAGTACATGACTAAAAGCTAAAAATCTGCATCTTTATTTCTGTTGCAGTTTTGTAATCAACCACGAATGATGAAACCTTCCAGAGCTGAGATGCTTCACAGAGGGAGGATGTTGTGGATAATTCTTCTAAGCACAATTGCTCTAGGATGGACTACCCCGATTCCCCTCATAGAGGACTCAGAGGAAATAGATGAGCCCTGTTTTGATCCATGCTACTGTGAAGTTAAAGAAAGCCTCTTTCATATACATTGTGACAGTAAAGGATTTACAAACATTAGTCAGATTACTGAATTTTGGTCAAGACCTTTTAAACTGTATCTGCAGAGAAATTCAATGAGGAAATTATACACCAACAGTTTTCTTCACTTGAATAATGCCGTGTCCATTAACCTTGGGAACAATGCTTTGCAGGACATTCAGATGGGAGCTTTCAATGGTCTCAAGATCTTAAAGAGGCTATACCTACATGAGAATAAACTAGATGTCTTCAGAAATGACACCTTCCTTGGCTTGGAGAGTCTGGAATACTTGCAGGCAGATTACAATGTCATTAAACGCATTGAGAGTGGAGCATTTCGGAACCTAAGTAAACTGAGGGTTCTGATTTTAAATGATAATCTCATCCCCATGCTCCCTACCAATTTATTTAAGGCTGTCTCTTTAACCCATTTGGACTTACGTGGAAACAGGTTAAAGGTTCTTTTTTACCGAGGGATGCTAGATCACATTGGCAGAAGCCTAATGGAGCTCCAGCTAGAAGAAAATCCCTGGAACTGTACCTGTGAAATTGTGCAGTTGAAGAGCTGGCTAGAACGCATTCCTTACACCGCCCTGGTGGGGGACATCACCTGTGAGACGCCTTTCCATTTCCATGGAAAGGACCTGCGAGAAATCAGGAAGTCAGAACTCTGCCCCTTGTTGTCTGACTCAGAGGTGGAAGCTAGTTTGGGGATACCTCACTTGTCATCAAGCAAGGAGAATGCGTGGCCAACGAAACCTTCCTCCATGCTGTCCTCTGTCCATTTTACTGCTTCTTCTGTTGAATACAAGTCCTCAAATAAACAGCCGAAGCCCACCAAACAGCCCCGAACACCAAGACCACCCTCTACATCCCAAGCTTTATATCCTGGTCCAAATCAACCGCCTATTGCTCCCTACCAGACCAGACCACCAATTCCCATCATTTGCCCTACTGGGTGTACTTGTAACTTGCACATCAATGACCTTGGCTTGACTGTCAACTGCAAAGAACGGGGATTTAATAACATTTCTGAACTTCTTCCAAGGCCACTGAATGCCAAAAAACTGTACCTGAGTAGCAACCTGATTCAGAAAATATACCGGTCAGATTTTTGGAATTTTTCTTCTTTGGATCTCTTGCATCTGGGGAACAATCGCATTTCTTATGTCCAGGACGGGGCCTTCATCAACCTGCCCAACTTAAAAAGTCTATTTCTCAATGGCAATGACATAGAGAAGCTGACACCTGGCATGTTCCGGGGGCTACAGAGTTTGCACTACTTGTACTTCGAGTTCAATGTCATCCGGGAAATTCAGCCCGCAGCCTTCAGCCTCATGCCCAACTTGAAGCTGCTATTCCTCAACAATAACTTGCTGAGGACTCTGCCGACGGACGCCTTTGCAGGCACATCCCTGGCTCGGCTCAACCTGAGAAAGAATTATTTCCTCTATCTTCCTGTGGCTGGTGTGCTGGAACACTTGAATGCCATTGTGCAGATAGACCTCAACGAGAATCCCTGGGATTGCACTTGTGACCTGGTCCCCTTTAAGCAGTGGATCGAAACCATCAGCTCAGTCAGTGTGGTGGGAGAGGTGCTCTGTAGGAGCCCTGAGAACCTCACACACCGTGATGTGCGCACCATCGAGCTGGAAGTGTTATGTCCAGAGATGCTGCATATTGCCCCGGCTGGAGCGTCCCCCGCCCACCCTGGAGATTCTCACTTTGCTGGGGGCCCAACGAGTGCATCACCTTATGAATTATCTCCTCCCGGGGGCCCTGTGCCACTTTCTGTGCTGATCCTCAGCCTGCTGGTTCTGTTCTTTTCCGCAGTCTTTGTTGCTGCGGGCCTCTTTGCCTATGTGCTCCGGCGGCGTCGGAAGAAGCTGCCCTTTAGAAGTAAGCGGCAAGAAGGTGTCGACCTCACAGGCATCCAGATGCAGTGCCACCGGCTGTTTGAGGACGGTGGAGGTGGTGGTCGTGGAAGTGGGGGTGGAGGCCGACCCACGCTTTCTTCGCCAGAGAAGGCTCCTCCCGTGGGTCATGTGTACGAGTATATCCCCCACCCGGTTACCCAGATGTGCAACAACCCCATCTACAAGCCTCGCGAGGAGGAAGAAGTGGTTGCTTCAGCAGGGCAGGACGCAGGGAGCACAGAACGTGGGTGTGCTGGGACACAAGCACCGGGAATGGGCGAGGTTCTCCTAGGAAGCGAGCAGTTTGTGGAGACCCCAAAGGAGACCCACAGCAACTACCGGACCTTGCTGGAGAAAGAGAAGGAGTGGGCCCTGGCAGTCTCCAGCTCCCAGCTCAACACCATAGTGACGGTGAATCACCACCACCCTCTTCCCCAGCACTCTGCGGCTGGTGGGGTTCCAGGGGTCGTTGGGGGAGCTGGGGGAGACTTGTCTGGGTTCCGCCACCATGAGAAGAATGGTGGGGTGGTGCTGTTTCCCCCCGGGGGAGGCTGTGGTGGTGGCAGTATGCTACTTGACCGTGAGAGACCACAGCCGGCCTCCTGCACAGTTGGATTTGTGGACTGTCTGTACGGCACAGTGCCCAAATTAAAGGAGCTACATGTCCACCCCCCTGGCATGCAATACCCAGACTTACAGCAGGACGCCAGGCTCAAAGAAACCCTTCTCTTCGCAGCTGGAAAGGGCTTCACAGACCACCAAACCCAAAAAAGTGATTACCTCGAGTTAAGGGCCAAACTTCAAACAAAGCCGGATTACCTCGAAGTCCTGGAAAAAACATCCTATAGGTTCTAACGGAAAGAAGAAAATAAATTAGTGATCTTTTTTTTTCCCAAAAGAAAAGGAAAATAAAAGAAATATATCCCTTGCTCCTTTTACACTTGTCTCAATATCTCCATCCTCACAATCTTCCCTGCCCTGAACAGAATTGAAAGCGCATGATAACTACAGAATTCAGATGGATGCTCTCCCCTCTCAGAGTGGTTTGGAGGAAGGGCCATACTCAGATCATTAATCAATGAAGTGCCTTCGCAGACTTTTGCCAGCAAAAGTTATCATTATTTTTTATACTGAAACTTGAGACTTTGACTGTGCCATGCATAAGGTATATTGAGGATCATTGTATTGATCCCAATTAAGTAAAATTCAATGTGTCTTTTATTTTCAGTAACTTTTTTCTTTAATTGGAGTTTTGTTTGAAAAGGAGGGGGGGAAATTGACATTTGTGGCTCCCTTCCCTCTTCCCATCACGGCACAGTTTCTGTACATGTATTAACAATGCAGTTTGCTGCATGCCTGAAAACTGCAAGACGGGAGGGAGGGGGCGGGTCTTGCTCGAATGTTCTCACTCAATCTTTTGTCTCTCTCACACACTCTTATAGGCAAACCACAAATCCCTGCAGACAATTAGGTTCCTAAACTTGCAGTTGTTGCACACACACACACACACACACACACACACACACACACACACCGCTCCCTTCTAACCCAATCTGCTTAGTTCGGGTTTGATCTATCTCTCTCCTCTCCATGTCTTCACCTTCCCTCACTCCTAGTGTACAGCTCAGAGCTTCTCTCCCAGGACCCTGGGAAAAGTCACACTCGAGGCTGGATCCTACCGAAGTGAAGGCCCGGTGGTTTAACAGCTGGAAACACACCTAGGGATAAGCACCCTCTTTGTGACACTTCATCCTGATGCCAAGATTTTTTGGAGAACATCTGCACTTTCTTATATATATCTATATATATAATATTAAAAATAAAAGAGCAACTGGATATATATATATATATATCACTAACAGCTTTGTAGGAAGCACTTTTAATGTTTTCTCTCACACACAAAGGTTCAAAAGAAATGTGCATATATTTATTCTGTAATTTCAGTGATTATAAATTGTAAAGGTAATGTTTAATCATTGTATAGTGATTATGCGTCTGGTATAGCTTCCCAATAAAAAGATTTTGAAAATCATAATACATTATATATAGAGGATACAAAGCTTGAAATTCAAAGCTTCAGCTATGCCATACGTTTTGTGCTCCCATTTAAAAGTAATTATTTCTTTTACTTGTTATTCAGAAAGCTAATTTTTTAACAAGTTTGATGCACTGTGATATTGATAAATCTTATAATCCATCTCCCCTACTCCATACCACAATACATGTAGGACTTAATAATGTCTGAATTATAGTTCATTTCTTTTTCTTGGACTGTGAATTTCAAATTTAGTACCCCAACAAGGCACTCTTTCATAGGCATGATGCTATTGGGAGAAAATAAAGTAACTAGATTGCTAAGAAGTATAGAATTATCAGATGAAGGCAATCAAGAATCCATGCATCTTAGGCTAGTAAACGACACAAAGCAAATAGAAAGTGAAATTGCTATCTTTTAAAAATATGCACTAAAATTATATATGGACCGATACTCCACTCCCACCTCCCCACACTTGACACAATCAAAATCAAAAGCCTTGAAGTGATGCCAATTTGACTGTCAGAAATATAATATTTAGCCACTGTTTCTCCTAACCACTGATGGCAAAGGACCCCAGTAATGTTTGAACTTAAAACAGAGAATGCTGAATGAGTGCTATTTTACATATGATAGTGGGATGATGTGGAAAAACTAACTTGACAATAATACAAGTTATGTTCCATTTGCCTGTGCATGAAACCAAAGAAATTGGGTTTGAGGATGCCAGTATTTTGATAAAGAAACCTGAATTTTGAGCCAGGCAGGGATCTTGCTAGGCCAGTAGAGGGCAGCAGAGCTCCAACCAGCCACAGACTCCGCAGCTACAGAATTGCAGTGAGACCAGTGTTTTGTGCCAGTTTCCTCAAGCTGCTCTTAGTAGAAATTATCATTACGTGTTGAATGTAATTCATCATAAGTCACTGATGCCTTACATCACATTTTTCCCACAAAAAAGAATAAGACCAGCATTTTTTAAAGCTGAGTGATAGGTAAAGCATTAAGGAACTGTATTAAAGAAAAGACCTAAGGATATCTAGACTCCATGTAACCCTTGATTAATTATGTATAACTATCATCAAAGGAAGCCATCAAAATTAAATATACAAATATAACACAAAAAAGTGCAACTTTTCTGTACTATCTTGCATTTGATGTGTTGAACCTAAAACTTTGACCGTCAATTATTTGATGCATATTTTACAATTACATAGGGGGGGAAAAAAAACACCACGGACATAATTTACCATAACTTTATGGAAAATACTAAAATGAAGCTGTTCTTATTCAAGACAGTCAGCCCAACTATTAAATATGCTATTTTTCTTCTCTTTTGCTCTTTTCTCCTTTTGATTTTTGAGACAGGGTCTCACTACATAGTTCAATCTGGCCTTGAACTCGCTGTGTAACTCAGGCTGGCCACCCATCCTCCTGCCTCCGGGATTACAAGCATGAGCTGTCAGGCCCAGCTCATGTTCTGTTTTTATTTTTTCCCTAGGTCATTTATTTTCCAGTGATCTCACTTTCCTCCTTTCTAATCATCTTTCTTCTTCACCATTTATTTTTTAAGGAACAGACAGCCTTAGGTTTTAAAACTCTAAACTAGAAATTTATCATACTTCCATTCCTCTTAATCAAATATGCTGGTGAGCAATAGAAAGTACATTCAATCTCAAAGTACAAATCTAGATATTTCTGATATTAATAATCACCTGTTTAATAACCATACACACACATCCAAAACATTGCATAGCATACAAATCAGGTTGAAGTACAATCCCTAATGACCCTGGTGCTTTTGACATTTGGAAAATAAGTCTCCATAAACCATATCAAATTATAATATCAGAAGTAATTTTAATGTTTATTCTTTATCAAATACAGAAAGTAAGACCATCTTGTCTTAGATACAGATAGTAATCTCTCTCTTGAATGAGAAATACATTTATTCCTCTTGTGAAAATAAATTATATGAGAATGGAATTTTATATTGAAAATGACAAATTTTTGCTTCCATGGATTTGTCTTCATGCTGGCTGAGCCACTTATTTTAAAATTGCATTAAAATTACTTCAGTTAGATTTAATTTGTAATACCAGATATATTTTCTGGTATCGTGGATACTAATATAGCTACAGATTAGAATCAGTCTTTCATTCTTTTCTGGGATAAAATACTTATTCTTTAAAAAATAGATAATTCATTTTATAACAGTGATAAGCTACTAAAGCAGACCAAGATCTGACAGATATTTGCTATTATCCTTTCTTCTCTTTACTACTAATTATAGTAATAAAATTTGGAAATAACAAACGTTGTAATATCCCATAAACTGTGGCATTATTAGACAATAATTGCAAATGAACTATTAGTTTAATTCAGTAATAGTTTAAACATGGTATATATCATTGTATGGTATATTAATGTGGGTGCTTTTATATTTTTATTTAGGAATATATATTATTTCTTCTAATTGCAAGATACTTATAAGTATGATGAATACCATATTTTAATAAAAATTCAGAGAGGGAATCACAAGGAAAGTATAATGACTGAATTTGAGAAGAATTTTTTTCATTTTTTTCTCTTTCTCCTTCCTTATCTGGGAGTTTAGGTCTAAACTCTTGCTATGTGAAAATAATTATGTTTGTGTTTCAGATTATGAAAATTTACAATGCAATCTTACTAGAAAGACTTTAACATTATAGCACATTATTTCATTCATTTGTTTAAAATTTATTATTTGTACAGCCCTGTTCTTTGGCAAATTATTGTTTAAGCCAATACATGTTGCATTTTTGTCACAAGGCTAGGACAAAGGAAACATTAGTGAAATATTTCACAAAATATGATACATATGAGTACAAGTCAAGATTATTATGAAAGAAAATGGTAAAGCAACCCCATCTTCAGTGATTTGAGCTATTTTGAACTCAGACATTATTACATGTATTTAGGTCAAAATTCTCACCTATGAAAATTCAGGTGAAAAGAACACAGATATCATTAACTCACCCTTTAAGTGTTCTGTTTAACATTATAGGTATTTTAAAATTAATAGGAGCAATAACACATATGTAATTGGGCAATCATGTGTGTGTACATATATATACATAGCACTATTATATATGTATATACCTTGTATATACATGTATATAATTTATATATGCTGAATTATATGTAAATTATGCATTTTCTTATATGTATAACAATTTCAGTTTTATGCACTTTTTTTTTCATCTGTCTAGCCACCATCTAAGTGAAGCTGGATGTGATTGTTAGTCTTCATTTTGGGAATATTCATATGTAAAGTAAAACTGTAATTAATATTTCTGAATTTAAAAGGTCTTTTATCCTCCATTTTGTTTCATTTTGTTATTTAAGTCCTAGGGGAAAAATCTCAGTTCAGTTGTGATTTATCTGAAGTTAAATCTTTACAGTAAAGTAACTAATTTCTTACAAGTATGCAACATAAGTCAAATGATAAACAAATGCTACTTTTTTTAGAGTTTTCTATTTCTAGAATAAATTTTACAGGTGAAAACCATTTTAGTACCATTGTTAATTAGATAAGATCTTTGTAATTTAGATATGTAGATTTGTAATCTAGATATGTAGAAAAACTGATATTTTGAAGGTTAAATGTAAGAGAAGTAAAGTTTTAATTTAAGGCATTCACACAGTTCACTTTAACATGAATCCTTAATAATAATAGCCAGAGTAATAGAGAGATGACCATTTTTAGCATGCCAATACAGAATCTGAATCAAACAACAAGATTTTTACTAACAAGAAATCAGGTGTACATCAGGGTTGTTAGTTGTGGAGAGGCAATGCTTTTGCCAGTTTAATTTTGATAAATATATATATTTGAGGAAAAGTATCATTTTCTTTTTATTGTATTTATATACAGCATATTCCAAGTGATTTTAAACTTCTAGTAGAAAGTAATTCTTGTGGTATTCACAGTGAATTTATGATTTGATATAACACCAATATATCTTTAAATATTAAAACATAATTACAAAAAAGAAGGCTTTCCTCATTACCACTTAGAATAGTAAGGCCCAGCATGCATACCTTAATGTTTTATAAAAATACTTTGGCTACTTACATAAAAGTAGTTTTCAATATAATAAGTTGCATCAAAACCAAACAAGTTTCAGCAAAACCAATAATGACCAGATAAAAGCAAATTTACATGTTTTGTTTCAATAAAATCCTAAATCTTTTGATCATGAAAGGCACATTACCTGGTTCATTACACTCTATTATGTAGAAAGAAAAAGCTTTGCTCTTCTGACACATGTTAGTTTTGCAATTTATTTGAATGAAGGAACATTATAATGATTCTTGGTGACTTTATAATCAGAACAAAACTTCCCTAACCTGGGTGGGGATGGCAAAATTCTCTACTGAAAGGAAGACGCAGCCTGACTGATCATCTTTGTCAGGGAAGGGAAGGAAGTGCTTCTGTTCCTGACAGACCTGCTTCTCCTTCTTGTGTCTCAGCGCCAGGATATTTCTGTGACTAACGGCACATTTGTTGAGCTCCAAGTCAGTGCCAAGGTAAGACCAAGGATTGATACGAGTCCTCACTTTCAGTGACAGAAACTCCATTTCACTTATCTCTGTAGCTAAGCTGAGAAAACAGTTCAATTTATTTCCTTTAGATTTGAAATCATTTGTAAGTTTGGGGAAAATCCAGAATTTAATAATAAAATAAGAACCACTTATGGAAATCAAATGAGAATCAAGAAGTATCTTAAAAACATGAAACCTATCTTTAAAATCTCACCATTTTGCATTTCCACTTCTGAAATACCCTTTATTTTTGTTTTGGCATGTAAAATTTTGGTTAACTAAAATAAAAATATCCATCTCCCTTTCTAGAATTCACACACTTTCTTTTTCCTTTTTTGTTACTCACATGTTACATTATCACTTAGAATTCTGGAAATGATTTATTTGGAAAGGCCAATTGTTTGGTCAGTGTCTACTAATTTTATAATAAAAACAAGTTAGTCAGATATGTAAACTTTACTCTGTAATGGGGCAGAAAATCATGTGCTTTATCTAAATTGAAGATTTTATATGGGGTACTCAGGGTCAGTACTTTTTTCCCCTACCTGTGTTCTTCTTCATCAGCTCTGAATTCACAGTTTTAATGCTCCCATATTCCAAACTGACCGTTCTTTGTTGTTTTACTTTTCTAGGTGGCAATAAAAGGAAGGTGGAAATAGAATATGTCAATTTCAGGTGCCATGTAATTGGTCTGGGAAAAACCAGGCCTATGAACTGTTCAATTTCTCCTCAGGAGACCTTGAAAAGAAGGACAGTGGAAGGAGAAGGGGGAAAACATGAAACTGTCCATCCCGTTTGAAGATCATTTGTGAAAGGGCTAATGAAAAAGGCTTGGACTAGGTTTCCATATTAACCTTTTGATGTTGGTACCGGGGATCGAACTGAGGACCTTGCGCTTGTGGGAAGGGCGATGGAATCACTGAGCTAAATTCCGGGCTGATGTCCTATCTTTGGAAGAGCTGAAGTTCCGCAGGAGGTTTACTGGGTCTAAGCTCTAAGCCATTCCGGTTCTCATCTGTTACACTCATTGGACAGCACATAGAACCTTAGAAGTAACTAAGCCAGCTAGAATGAAAAAAATTCTAATGCAAGAATAAATCACTGGGGATAATTGGAGCTACCAATGTAGGATATTCACCGAGGCTTATAGTAACAAACAGTCTGACAGTCTGTAAAATGACTTTTCTTTCCTCTTTTTATTTCTTAAATTAGTTTCTTTTCCGTACAAACAATAAACCCTTAATTAATTTTTGGGCTATTTTTAACATAACTTTGTCATGAGTTCTGAACCAGAATTCATTAAAGGAACACAACTAAATTATTAATGTTTACTTAAGAACAAAATATTTATTTCAAATGACTGTAATTAATCATGCAATATATTCTAGAGCTATGATATTCCAGAGCCAAATATGTGTGTGTGTGTATTAATGTTTACTTAAGAACAAAATATTTATTTCAAATGACTGTAATTAATCATGCAATATATTCTAGAGCTATGATATTCCAGAGCCAAATATGTGTGTGTGTGTGTGTGTGTGTGTGTGTGTAGTTTCAAAGATTACTAACTGCAAAAGTTATTCTCCCCTACTCATGTCTATGACAAGAATATTGACAGTATAGATTATATTGAAATTGATTCTTATTTTGGATCACATGCTCTTCTCTCTCTCTAAATGTGGATAAGTGATGGTTGAACATTGCTCATATGCATTATAAATATAATTTTAGATATGGATATCATTTACCAATCTATCAAATAACTATAATTTACACAGTGCACTATTGCAC